ATGCTTCTTCAACTGAGCAGGATCAGTGGATCATTGACTCTGGAGCCACCCACCATGTTTCCCCAGATGTAGATGTTGTAACCCATAAGACTGGGTGCAGTGGTCCAGGTAAGTTGGTTGTGGGAGATGGTGTCTCGTTATCAGTTGGTTTAGTTCGCAGTAAAATCATGAAATATGCTTCTAGAATACTACTTGTTAATGATTTACTTCATGTGCCTGGCATAACACAAAATTTATTGTCTGTATCCAAGTTTGCTAGAGACAACAATGTGGTGTTTGAATTATGTGCACAAAGTTGCTGTGTTCGTGATGCAATTAGTGGAGAGGTGATTCTTTAAGGAATGATGCAAGACGGGCTTTATATGTTTCCTAGTGTTACTGTCTCAAATACTTGTAAAAGTGCATATGTAAATGTTGCTTCAGGCAGTAGTGCTTATAACCTTTGGCATAGAAGGTTAGGACATGCAACATATGAAACAATTGCAAGTGTATGCAAAGCTATTGATGTTCAAGTCAATAAAAATGTGAATACGGTTTGTGAAGCATGTTGTATTGGAAAAAGTCGTAAATTGCCCTTTAGTGACTCTAAAACTGCTTATGCTAAACCTTTTAATTGGTATAACATTTGGGGACCAGCTCATGTAGCCTCGAATGGTTATCGCTACTACCTGTCCTTTGTTGATGATTACTCAAGACACACTTAGGTCTACTTTCTCAAAGACAGGTCACAAGCATTGAATACATTTAAGGTATTTCAGCAAATGGCAGCAACTCAGTTTGGGCTGGCTGTGAAGGCTGTTCAAAGCGATTGGGGTGGAGAGTATCGCAGTCTGTCAACCATATTGCTAAGAGAATGGATTGAGTATCGTGTTGCCTGCCCACATACGTATGAACAGAACGGTGTGGTCGAGAGGAAGCATAGACATGTCATTGAACTCGCTTTGGTTCTGTTAGCACAAGCTGCTATGCCCTTGCGTTACTGGTATTATGCAGCTGCTACTGCTGTGTTCCTCATTAATCGACTTCCTACCAGAGTTTTAGAAGGGTTGTCACCTTGTGAAAAGTTGTTTGAAAAGAAACCGGATTATGGTTTTATGAGAGTCTTTGGATGCAAATACTTTCCTCACCTATGGTTGTTTCAGCAGCACAAGCTTGACTTTCGTTCACAGCCTTGCACATTTCTTGGCTATAGTCCTCAGCACAAAGGCTATTTGTGTCTAGCAACTAATGGGCGTATATATATTACCAGACATGTAGTCTTTGACGAGTTTGTCTTTCCATTTGCAGGCATTGGAGAATCGAGTAACATGAATCAAGTCAACAAACAAAAATCTGCTGAACTTGAAGTTGTTACTGACGTGCGCCAATTAAATGCTAACACTTTTGGTTCAAGTCAAGGAACAACTTCTGCTAATATGGATATGGATGGCTTGACTGAAACAGTTCCACAAGAAATGGTTAATGAAAGTGAAGATGTTATGGGAGGAAATTCTGGTCATATGCATCATAATTTATCTGGTCGTGGTGAACCTTCACCAGAAACTGTTACTCCTAATCTTGGCGAGTCTTCATTAGGAGCTGCTTCTCGTGAAGGTGTCCATGTAGGAGGAGTCACAACTGAAGCTGTTGAGTTAGCAAATCTCAGGCAGTCTGTGGCAACAACCGATCTCGTTGACAATGCTACCTCCTCGAGTGATAGTAATAGTTATGGTGTGGTAAATCGTCACTCGATGATGACAAGGAGTAAGTGTGACATATTTAAGCCTAAGGTGTATGTGGCTAGCTGTGCTGAAATGGAACCTCTTAATGTTCATGAAGTAGTTCAGTCACCTCACTGGAAAGCAGCAGTGCTTGCTGAGTTTGAAGCGTTAAGAAAGAATGGCACGTGGACATTAGTCAAGTTACCTGAAGGTCGCTCGGTTGTTGGGTACAAGTGGCTTTTCAAACTGAAAAAGAACCCATATGGCTCTATTAACAGGTATAAAGCAAGGTTAGTAGCTAAAGGATACTCTCAAATGCCAGGGTATGATTTTGGAGAAACTTTCAGTCCTGTTGTTAGATTTACAACATTAAATATAGTTCTTTCTCTAGCTGTTACCAATGACTGGCAATTACGCCAGGTAGATGTGAACAACGCGTTCATGTATGGTGACTTGCATGAAGAAGTGTTCATGCAACAGCCACCAAGTTTCGAGCAAGTGGCTGCAGATGGTAGTCCCTTGGTGTGCAGGTTAGAGAAGGCCATGTATGGTTTACGCCAAGCCCCTCGAAATTGGCATGACAAATTGAAGAACTACCTGCTTAAAATTGGTTTTAAAGAGTCTTCAGCTGACACCTCGTTATTTGTCTGCTGGGAAGGGAGCAACTGTGTTTACATACTTGTGTATGTAGACGACATTGTGTTGACTGGGAATTCGAATGAAAAGATTGAAGAAGTAGTGAAATTTCTTGGAAGAGAATTTGCCTTGAAAGATCTTGGTGATTTACATTATTTTTTAGGCATAGAAGTTAAACGTTCTGGCAGTTCATTAGTTCTCAGCCAAAGGAAGTTTATCCTAGAGTTGCTAATGAAGACAAAGATAAGCACTGTTAATCCTGCATCTACACCAATGTTTGCATCTGCCAAGTTGAGTCATGATACGGGGACATTGCTTCTAGATGCATATGAGTATCGAAGTATTGTAGGTGCGTTATTGTATGCATGTCACACTCGCCCAGACATAACCTTCAGTGTTAACAAAGCAGCTCAGTATATGCATGCTCCAAGATAGAAGCATCTTGCTGCTGTTAAAATGATCTTAAGGTACCTGGTGGGAACAATTAACCATGGCTTGGTTATTGCACCAGCTGTAGCAGGGTTCAATATAGTAGCCTTTGCTGATGCTGATTGGGCTGCAAGTGCTGATGATCGCAAGTCTATCTCAGGTTATTGTGTGTATGTTGGAGACAATCTTGTGTTGTGGAACTCGAAGAAACAAAAGTCAGTTTTCAGATCAACCATGGAAGCTGAATATAGAAGTGTTGCAGATGTCACCGCTGAGACAACGTGGGTGAATTCTCTTTTAAATGACTTAGGTGTTGCAAGGCAGAAAACTCCAATAGTTTGGTGTGATAACAGCAGTGTTGTAGCCATGACAGCTAATCCAGTTTATCATGCAAAGAGCAAACATGTTGAACTTGATGTCCACTTTGTTCGAGAGAAAGTTGCGTTGAAGCAAGTGTTGATAAACTATGTGCCAGGAAGTCACCATGTTGCTTATGGATTCACAAAGCCGTTAGCTGCTGCTCGGTTTGAGGTGTTTAAAGCCAGGGTGAATGTTCAATCCTTTCTTTGGAGAGAAGAAGAAGAAGCCGGGAGAATGTTAAATGATGAACCTACTTAATTGATGGGCGTTATTGTCAGTTGTGTAGTTAGCGAGCTGTTAGATTGATTGTTAGTTGTTATGTTAGTTATTGTGCAGTTAGTCGATCATAAGTTGGCTGTAAACTGTTGTATAAATGGAACAGTGTAGCTCAATGGAAAATAGAATATTGGTTCATCATATTGCACTCTTAGTTAGTATTTCAACATACACTATATAATGAAAGACACATAGCACGTATGGCGTTTTTATAAAGATGTATGGAAGAATCCAACATTATTTTCTTTTACATAAAAAAAAAAAGGTACAGGCATCCATGGATAAGAACCAAACAACTAAGAATAATATAATATATCAAGTTTTTCATACGTTTGCATGAAGACGTCAAATACTCCAAACGTCTTCTATAAATGGTGTTCATTTCACATGTTTTAGAGAATAATTCTAACATAATAGTATATGAAAAATTATTATTTCGCCGTCTTACTCTTCTGCTCTAAACTTATTTCTATTAGGATACAATAATCCTAATTACACTCTCAAAAGTCATATTAAAACCTTCTATTTGTGAATTTTCAAGATCATCTTACTCTTTCTCATTTTAAATTCTTATTTCCACTCATGCTTCTTCTTTTCCTTTGTGTCATCTCTATTACTTAAGTACGTTATTTTGTTGGATGTGATGACAATTTGTAAAGTATATTCATATAATACATATTGCAAATACAATTATTTATACGTAACTTCTTTTTAGATCAAATCAAAGTTTGACTATTTCCTAAGTTATAAAGATAAATTATAACTCTCATTTTAAATTAATCCTTGAACTTTTGAACATTCTAATTTCATATCTAAACTATTACTTTTTGTTTAAATTGGTCCACGAACTTTTGAATATTCCAATTTCATCTCCAAATATATAATTAGTTTCAACCATAATTTAACATAAAATTTATTTTTTTCAAACATATATTGGTCTAATGATTTTATTTTCAAGTCATTGATGACGCTCACACCCCTAACATTTATAGTGCTTGAACCCGGGTCATAAAAAATAACAACAATTCAGGTTACTTGATTTGTTCATGCTACAATTCATGGATTATAAATAATTAGGAAAATAATATTCGATTAATTAATTTGTTTTACAAATCTTAAATTGCATACCACAACATAACATTAATTACAGATTTACAGTTTTGGAGTAAGTCAATTAATTAAATGGTTAAAGGAGTAAGAAACATATTAACAAAAAAACAACTTCAAATATAGAGATTCTCCTCCATATTAGGAGACGATTCAGGGAGGAACATGAAACTTAAAGCTGTCAGAATGGTCGGTGGAGCTATTACCTAGCAATCAAATATCTCTTGCTCTGAGAATCCTCTCACAATTCTCCTCAAGGTACTTTCATTTTCATTTTCTATTTCTTTTTTCTTTTCTTTTTTCTTTTCTTTTCCCTCTTCATGGCTAAGATTATGGTATGAAGATCATTGTTATTTGTATAATTTGTTTTTGTTTTGTTTATCAATCATCTAATCTCTGATGGTTGGCAGGCATCCTTTGGAGGAGAGGGAGAGGAAGAGGGGACATCTTCCGGCATATTTTTAAGGTTAAACATTGCCGGAAAAACCCCTAATGGCGGCTAACGCTCCGGAGAATTCTCCGCCTTCGCCCTCACCGCCAAATTCTTCATCGAATAACTCGTCTTTGTCATCTCCACCGTCTCAGTCGCCACCGCAATCGTCTTCACCACCACCACAATCGCCACCCTCAACACCAGAGAAACCGCCACCACCTCCTAAACAAGAGTCAGACTCAACTCCTCCACCGCCACCGCCACCACAACCAACTCCACCACCACCGTCACCATCACCACCACCACCATCATCACCACCACCTTCACCACCACCACCATCCACATCACCATCACCACCACCACCCCCAACTCAACATACTCCGCCACCACCATCAACACCACCCCCAACTCATCATATTCCACCACCACCAAAGTTGACACCCCCAATTGCATCACCTGCAATTGTTCCTTCTCCGCCGAAACATTCACCTCCACCACCAAAACTACACTCATCGCATAGTAACAGTGGAGACGGTGGATCAAAATCAAATAACTTATCGTTACAGTTACCGCTTATAATTGGTCTTACAACCGGCGTTGTTTTATTGCTCGTTATCGCTATAACACTTGTTATTGTAGTATTCTGCAGAAAAAAGAAGAAGGAAATGTATCATAATAATCACATGCAATATTATAATAATTTAGGTGACGGTGGATATGGAAATGCCGCCCCAGCAGGACACATGAATAATGGGTACGAAGCTAATAATCACGCTGCCACTAATTTAGCTCCGCCACCGGGTGGAGCTGCAGGCCACGGAGGGTGGCAACAAACACCGTCACCACAAGGGTATATGTCTTATTCTAGTGAAATGACCTCCAATGTAACCGGTCAACCGGAAACACCAGCCACGCATGCATCGCCATTGCAATTAGGGCTCAACCAAAGCTCATTCAGCTATGAAGAGCTATCTATGGCAACATTTGGGTTCTCTCAAGGGCAATTGCTAGGTCAAGGTGGGTTTGGGTACGTCCACAAAGGTGTTTTGGTCGGCGGCAAGGAAGTGGCCATCAAGAGTCTCAAATCCGGTAGCGGGCAAGGCGAACGCGAATTCCAAGCCGAAGTCGAGACGATTAGCCGCGTTCATCATAGGCATCTTGTGTCTCTTGTTGGGTATTGCATAGCCGGAGAAAGAAGGATGTTGGTCTATGAATTTTTTCCTAACAGAACACTTGAATACCACCTTCATGGTAAGCAAATGGACAATGATAATACTACCTAATAAAACCAGTTCAAAGATTTCATATTTTATGCTATCGTTTGTAGAGAAAGGCCCCATGGATTGGCCTACCAGGCTCAAAATTGCATTGGGAGCAGCTAAAGGACTTGCATACTTGCATGAAGATTGTAAGTATCATTTCATGTAACATTATTAAACTCTCTAGTTTACATTCAATCCATTTCTATTCTAGATTGTAACCCATTTATGGAAACTCAGGCCACCCTCGCATCATTCATAGAGACATCAAATCTGCCAACATCTTACTTGATTATACTTTCGAAGCTAAGGTATGCGTTACACAATAACCTTGGAATAAATTTATCGAATTGTTTCAAACATATCTCAAACTACAAATTATTTGCAGGTGGCTGATTTTGGGTTGGCTAGACTCACTCAAGATAACAATACTCACGTCTCAACTCGTGTCATGGGAACATTTGGGTGAGAGAAATTGATCCAATTATTCGAATCCACAATCTTTTGGTTATATTTGATCTTTAGCATAATTTGATTTGTTTCCTTTATATAATCAACAAATGCAGTTACTTAGCTCCTGAATATGCATCAAGTGGTAAGTTAACAGAGAAATCCGATGTTTTCTCCTTTGGTGTTGTGCTATTGGAGTTGATAACCGGACGTAGACCTTTGGATCTAAACTCGAATATGGACGAGAGTTTAGTCGATTGGGTACGAAGTATATTTCTATTTTATTTACCTATATAATTTTATATATTATCAGTAATTTTATTGTTAATCTCAATCGTACGTGTATAAATTATCAGGCTAGACCTTTATGTGAGACTGCAATGGATACTGGAAACTTTGGAGAATTGGTGGACCCGCGCCTAGAGAACAATTTTGTCCACCAGGAGATGGCTCGAATGGTTGCATGTGCTGGTGCATCTATTAGGCATTCTGCTAGAAGAAGACCGAAAATGCGACAGGTATGACTATAATGATCTAGGGATGAATTTCTAAAACTTAAGAAAGAAATAAAAACATATTATTGATAAAAAAAATATAAATCTAAAATATATGATAATTTGAAAAATTTTAGAATATGATAACTTTCAGCTATTCCGTCTAGGGATGTAAAATGAAACGAACGTTCAATGAATCATTCATGAACCGTTCGACAAAAAATCCATTTATGTTTGTTTATTTATTACACAAACGAACATAAACACGATTTTTTGTTCATTTAATTAAATGAACTAACACGAACAAATGGCTCATTCATTCATTTGTGTCTGTGAATGTTCGGTAATCTATTCATTTACATTCGTTCTTTATGTTCGTTTAATTTTATTCACATATGTATCTCTCACCCAACAACTAAACTATCCTTTTCATTTCACGAAAGATTGAGGGGGAAACCCTAAATTGTTTAAATTTATGTTCGTTTGTGTCCGTTTGTATTAATTTATCATTTTAACGGATGAACACAAACAAACTAAATTTCTTAACGTCCGAACACGGACAAGATATTTTGTTTGTTTAGTTGTTCGTGTCCGTTCAATTAAAGTTAAATGAACGAACATAAACATACCTTCATTCGTGTTTGTTTGACTCGTTTACAAGCCTACCCTGTTCCATTTCTGATGATGTCTTGCGAGGAAATCACCTACTTTGATCTGAATCTAATAAATATAACAGATTGTGCGTGCATTGGAGGATGAGGTTCCATTGGATGAGGTAAAGGGAGTAGTGGCGGCAACCCAAACTTCAAGGTTCAGCCCAACGAACGAGAGCGGCGAGCATGAGTCTAGTTTATATAGTGAAGACATGAAAAGAATCAGGGAAATGGTAATGGACAACCGAGACTACAGGAACAGCGATTATGGGAACACAGACTACTACGGCCACAATCCTTCTTCTTCCTCTGGTAGTGGCTCCAGAGGACTGTAGCCTAGCCTGCTCACCGTCTTCTATTAAACCCTTCCAAACGCACCGATATTGCTATAGAAAAAAATCCCGTGTATATCTTGGTATAAAAAAGAGAAATTGTGTATATCTGTATAACATAATTTTTCAAGAGATTCACACCTGTCTAAAGTACTAATATTTAAGTTAAAGTAGAGTAGTTGGAAATAATTATATTTATTTTTACAAAATTATAAAAAAATATAAGAATATACATATAATATTATTTGAAATATAAATTAAAATATATTAAGTTTATAAAATTATATTATACTTGTTTATTCAATAAAATAAATTAGGTTAAACTATGTATTTAGTATCTAAAATATCAATTTTGGTTTATTTTAGTACCTAAACTTTTAATTTATTCAAAATCGTACCTAATGTTTAGTTTTCATTTCATTTTACTACCCGATGTTAAAAACTTAACGTGTTTAGTACCTAAACTATCAATTTTAATCCTTTCTAGTACCCGAACTTCTATTTTTTAAAAAACTTAACAGTAGATTTTGAATTGGGTACTAAATGAAACAAAAACTAAAGTTTTTAACGACGGAATACTAAAATGAAAAAAAACTTTAGATATGATTTTAAAAATTAGAAATTTTATGTACTAAAATGGATCAAAATTAATAAGTAAGATATTAAACACATAATTTACGCAATAAATTATAACATATTATAAATATCATAATATATAATTTATCAAAATATTATAACATAATCATTAAATTTACCAAATTTTTATATATCATAATAATTTAAAGATTTTAATAATTATTTCATAATTTTTAAAAAATTAATAATTAAAATATTTATTTTAACATAATTAAGTAACTTCTAATATACTTTATTCAAACTAAAATTATCCAAAATTTTATATACATAATAAAACAATATCGATTGCAAATATTACCGGATCCACCAGATTCCCACTCTTTTCCTGATTCGCCCCCTCTTCAAAAACTAATGCTTTAAAAGCACAGAGAAGAACGCAAGCGAGACAGGAGAAATAAAAGAGGTAAAAACACACTCGACTGTATCTATAAAACCGAATAAAAGTTATTTAAATCTTCTTAGATCTCCTAGATTCAAACTTCCATTAAGCGATGGCACAACCTTTGGTGAAGAAGGATGACGATCGCGACGATGAAGGTAAATTCTATTACGATTTCCTCCGATTCTTTCATTCTTTTTAATCCTTTTATTTTGTTTGTTTCGAATTAATTGTTCGTTTCTTGTTTAGTTAATTATAAATCTTAGGTTTGAACTACTAGATCTGAGCTTTTTTTATTAATATGGATTGATTTAGAGACGCATTTCGTGATTTGTAGATCTAATTTCGAGAGACAATTTTAGTTTTTTTTTATTCATTTAGTTCTAGTTGATATGATCTCTGCTCATGATTTGCTAGATTTTCAGTTTTTGATGGAGCAATGTAGCTGACTAGTTTCTAACTTTTAATGGATGCGTTGAATTTTAGTTGATTTGTTTGACGATGTGAATCTCGATACTATATGTATATATTAGAATTGAGTTCTGTTTGTAGGGTTGTTGATTTCTCCTAGCTTTTTAAGTGTTCGGGGAAGGCTTTTAATTGGCAATTTTGTATTTTTGTTTTTAAAACAGTTGACTACTCCCCGTTTATGGGGATTGAGAAGGGTGCAGTTCTTCAAGAAGCTAGGGTTTTCAATGATCCCCAGCTTGATCCTCGAAGATGCTCTCAGGTTTCTACTTTTTAAGCAATCTTGATTTTCTGTTTCATGGATTTGCTCTTTTTTTTTCATTTCATTTTTAGTGAATGTTTTAAAATTCTCTATGTAGGTCATCACAAAACTTCTGTATCTACTGAACCAAGGAGAAACATTCACTAAGGTCAGTTTCTCTTTTTATTTATGCCTGAAAAGATTAGATTCGTGTTTGCTTTTCATTTCCATTGTTGACTGATTATTTGCTGTTGTTATATGAATAGGTGGAAGCGACAGAAGTTTTCTTTGCTGTGACAAAGCTTTTCCAATCGAAGGATATAGGCTTGAGGAGAATGGTCTATGTGATGATAAAGGAGTTATCTCCATCAGCAGATGAGGTTGTATATCTGGAATTGTTTATGCTTTCTAAATAATTTGTTTTGCTTGTGGATACTAATAATTTCTTATTCTTTCTGACAATAGGTTATTATTGTTACTAGCTCTCTTATGAAGGACATGACTAGCAAGACGGATATGTATCGAGCAAATGCTATTCGTGTTCTTTGTCGGATAACGGATGGAACACTTTTAACCCAGATAGAGAGATACTTGAAACAAGCCATTGTTGACAAAAATCCAGTTGTTGCAAGTGCAGCATTAGTCAGTGGCATCCATTTACTGCAGGTAATGTTTTTGATGGTTATTTTATTATATAGTTCTTAAATCAGTTATCAAAAGTCTAATGAAGTAATGATTTTATTAATGTGTTGTAAATATTTTGGCAGACAAACCCTGAGATTGTGAAAAGATGGAGTAATGAGGTTCAAGAAGCTGTTCAATCAAGAGCAGCACTTGTACAGTTTCATGCTCTGGGATTGCTTCACCAGGAAAGTCACATTCCTTTCTCAGAAAGTTTTGGGGTTTTATTTGGTAGTTGAAGTCAATTGCTCAATTCAAGCCCAACCTGTTAACCTATTTAATTTGTGTTTATAATTCCTTGTAAATAGGTTGTAGCTCACAGCTTTTCGAGCCTTTTGATTTCTTCTGACTCGTTTTAGCAGCTTGTGTTATTGTCTACTGGATTTTAACACATTGCATGCTTGGTTTAGTTGTCCTGGTTAGATTTGTACTTATAGATAGATCTGCAGCAAGTGGTAGCTAAACTGTAAATAAAGAAAAGTAGAGTAGTTTCATGAGGTATGAATCCATTGTTCTTATGATTCTTGCATGTCTGTATAATACTGTATATTCATGGTTGGATTTGGGTCTATGATCACTGAATTGATCTTTTCAGTTAAAAATTGAGTGACAACTATGATGAATTTATCTGATTTCATATTTGCAGATACGGCAAAATGATCGACTGGCTGTTAATAAGCTGGTTAGTAGTTTGACTAAGGGAAGTGTCCGCTCGCCATTAGCTCAATGCCTATTGATACGTTATACTAGTCAGGTATACACCGTCTCTAACATCTTGCCCTCTGTCATTCTTTCTATTCATAAATAATTCAAATTAATTGGAGATTCTGCAGGTTATTCGTGAGTCAGCCAACACTCAAGCAGGGGATCGCCCTTTTTATGATTTTCTTGAGGGTTGTCTGCGCCATAAGGCTGAGATGGTGATTTTTGAGGCCGCTAGAGCAATCACTGAGCTCAATGGTGTGACAAGCCGAGAATTGACACCAGCAATTACAGTTCTTCAGCTCTTTTTAAGCTCTTCTAAGCCAGTGCTGAGATTTGCTGCAGTTCGTACTTTGAATAAGGTTGATATCTTTTCCAGTGCTAAATAATATACCATGCTATTAAATCCATATATATTTTGCTGGTTGAGGGAAAAAATTAAAGTCAAGCCCTTTGATGAAGGGTAGCTCCTGCAATTTTCTGAAGTTCAAACACACTTATGGAGATTGCTGAAAGTGCTTTTACTATATTGTTTAGCAAACATATAATTACTCTTCATTTGTACTTGATTGTTGTTTTTTCTAACTCAGATGCATACTGTTCTGTTCATTCTGATTTATGTTTATAACAATTTTTTCAGGTTGCAATGACTCATCCCATGGCTGTCACTAACTGCAATATTGACATGGAGAGTTTAATTTCTGACCAAAATAGAAGCATTGCCACACTTGCAATTACTACCCTTCTTAAGACAGGAAATGAGTCGAGTGTGGATCGCCTGATGAAACAGATAACTAATTTTATGTCTGATATTGCTGATGAGTTTAAAATTGTTGTTGTGGAAGCCATAAGATCACTATGCTTAAAATTTCCATTGAAGTACAGATCTCTGTAAGGGATACTTGACTTTGCATTATTCATCAGTTGGCTTCAGAAAAGGCTTCTTTTGCCTTAAAACACTTTTTTTTAATCAATTGTTATCTTCAGGATGAATTTCTTAAGCAATATTCTAAGGGAAGAAGGTGGATTTGAGTACAAAAAGGCCATTGTAGATTCAATTGTGATTCTAATTAGAGATATCCCGGAAGCAAAAGAGAGTGGATTGCTTCATTTATGTGAGTTCATCGAAGATTGTGAATTCACATATCTTTCCTCACAGGTAGCATTTTATTGTCATGCTTTTTGTCCTTTCCCTTTTTTCCCCATCTTTGACTTCATTTAAATTTGACTCAACATTGTATTATAGATACTTCATTTTTTGGGGATTGAAGGCCCAAAAACCTCAGATCCAAGCAAATATATACGATACATTTACAACCGTGTCCATCTTGAGAATGCAACTGTCCGGGCTGCTGCAGTGAGCACCCTAGCAAAATTTGGTGCAATGGTTGATACACTGAAGGTATGAAATCTTAATTACTCTCTTTCATTTCTGTTTAGTACTCTCATCCTGCGACACATTGCTTACCTAGTTAACCTGGAAAATCTTGCTATCTTTTGCAGCCCCGCATATTTGTTCTCTTAAGGCGCTGTCTCTTTGACAATGATGATGAGGTCAGCTTATCATGATAATTTGTTATTCATGTTTGTTGCATTCTTAATCTGTGTGAACTTGAATATGCTGCCTTTTTCCCTCTCTCAATAAATTAAGGGCTTCTAAATCTTTTATTGTAGGTTCGTGACAGGGCTACACTCTATCTTAATACACTTGGTGGTGATGGTGCAGTTGTTCAAACTGGTGAAGATGTAAAGGAGTTTCTCTTTGGTTCACTGGATATCCCTCTGGTGAACTTGGAGAACAGTTTGAAGAATTATGTGAGTTTCTAAATTTTGATTACTCTTTTACTGCTTTTTATCATTATCTCATGTATTAAATTGGGTCCAGGAACCATCAGA